AATCTTTTGTTGGCGATTCGAATAAGAACAGAAGTCTTGGATACTCTGGGACACAATGCGACCTTCAGAAATGCTTCTCTGATTCTTGTGTACAGCCATGCACCCCTGACAGGCCTCTGTTACCATCACAAATCCTCAATACACAGCCAAAAAAATCCCAACACTCCGGATCCCTTTGTTTGTTTGTTGGAGACTTAGAGTTGGACCCCACAGGAAAAACAATGGAAAAGACGTTTGGCCACAAAAAGCGGCCGAACGATTTTGGAAAGGCTGGAAACTCTTTTGCCGGGACCCCATCGCGGACTGCGTTTTGCGGCAAAGTGCGCAAGTTCTATTCCATTATAGGAAATGCACCGTTCAGCATCCCGAAAAGGAAAGTGGCCGAATGTCCGGAAGGCGTGGGTGGACCGAAGGAATGACCGTGCCGCCTCAAGTGGGTGACGCAGGGCGGCATGTGCGAGAGGCAGTGCGACCTCCCGGCGGTGAGGGGGCCGAAGTGGACCCACGGTCCCCGTCGCGCTGGACGGTTCCACAGTCCGTACCGTGAATGCGACCGTTGGCGCAGGCCTCCGCATTCTGTAGGTGGACGTTATGTATGCGAGCCGCTGCGATTCCACGTGAGTGAAAGCTATCGCCGCCATTACCAGTGTTGTCTGCCTCGTCCATCGCTCTTTCATCCCGTCCCCATCGCCGCAGCTGAGTGCACGTGTTCGAACATCCACGCGCGTGGCTTGTGCAAGGCTCGTTGCAAGGAGCGTGGTGCGACGTCAGACCCGATGGATGATTGGGACGATACCATGTTCCTCATGGTTTTCGTCCTTCTGCAGTGCATGAACAGAAGGAACTCGGCGGCGATGGCTGTCCTGCAGGCAGCGGCTGCGATGCCGACTTGTCTGTCGGGGTTGTCTTCCACCCTGTTGCATCTTACGGGTGCGGTGATGCATAGCATGTCACTGGCGGACGTACTGGGCAGCGTTTTCATCCGTCGTGTGGATGGTCGAAGACGCGTGTGGGTGTTGGAACGCAGTGGGGGTGTGTGGAAGGACCTCCAAAGAGAGGGAGGCAGGCATGAGAAGGTCTTCCAGTGGTTTTGCAGACTTCCCCGACCGCTGTTCAATGAAATTTTGGCTCGCATAGCGCCACATATCCAGCGTCAGACGACGAACTGGAGACAGCCAGTCCCGGCGGCGCAGAAGTTTGCATGCGCTCTCATCAGGTGGGCGATGGGAGGTTACTACAGGCAGTCGGCCCATGGTTTGGGTCTTGGTTTGGCGAGCGCACTGCGGAGCAACGTCGATGTTGCCGATGCGCTGATCAGGGAGTATGGGCATCTGCTCCAGTTCCCAACAGGGCAGAAGCTGCAAGAGATGTTGGACGCTTTCGAACGCAAAGGTTTCCCAGGGTGTGTGGGAGCCATAGACTGCACCCATGTGTACATCGATAAGCCTGCAGGTTAGAGGGGGGAGTGTTTCTATGATCGCACCGGCCAATTCTCTGTTGTGGTGCAGGTGGTGTGCGACCACGAGTGCCGAATTCAGAGTGTTTTCGTGGGTTGCCCGGGGTCTGTCCACGATAGTCGTGTGCTGCGAGTGTCTCGTTTGCATCGCGAGGCGCAGCGTGGTGGTGGGGTGTTCGGCACGGGCGGGGAGGTGCTGCGTGGTGGCCGTACGATTGGCAGGTACTTGCTCGGCGACACTGGCTACCCGCAGTTGCCGTGGATTATGACTCCAGTTGGGGGCAACAACAGGAATGCGGCTGAACAGGTGTATGATGATTGTCACACCTCCGCACGGTCATGCATCGAACGCACTTTCGGAAGATTGAAGGTCGTGTGGAGGAACTTCATCAGGACACAGATTGCGAATATGAAAACCCTTCGCAAAGAGTTCATGGCCATTTGCATATTTCACAACCTGATGGTGCAACACAAGGTGCAGGTGGATCCTGAAATGCTTTCCGACGACAGTGATAGTGATGGTTGTGATGTGCAGAGCCGACGTCGGCCACCGCGTCCACGTCCGCAAACGCGGCATGCACCTTGTCCGCCCCCTCCAGAGGAAGACGCAGCATGTGCTATTGAGTTGGGGAACAAATTGAGGGACTGTCTCATCATGCATGTGTGGCATCACAGCCGTGTTCACGGGGCTCCTCCACCGAACCCTTGGCAGCGTTGATGCCGG